TCCTGCTCCTGTGTCTTTTTGACATTTCCTTTTCAGTTTTTAAGTGCATCCTTACTTTTCTGGCATAAGATGTACCAGCATCACCTCATTCTTTTCCTGCCCCAGACCGGAAAAAGCCATTTCTCCAAGGAGTCCAGGATCCTCTTAGTGGGGAACAGAATTTTAGAACTAAGCTCTCAGGAACTAGGGTTGAGATTGTGGTTCACCACCTCCAACTAGATCTCTTAGCAGATTAATCACACCCACTTGCTAAACCGAATGCTTGTTGGAGGTTTTTAAAAGACAGATTTTCATTTGATCTTGCCTTACCTCTTAGCAAGATTGCTCTTTGTAAACACCCTTTCAGTATTAAGATGCTCTGAGGTTTCAAAACACTGAGATTGTCAATCTAAGCTAGAAGGATTTTACTCAATTATATGCAGATTTAACTTCATGCTCACATGATCAATGTTCTCTCAGTTTAATGTTCTAGATAACTGGCTGGCAGATGGTAAGTGGGCAGTGATATGGTTTTGTAATTGGACTATGAAGGATGACACACGAGAAAACAATTAGAGGGAAAATATTTACCAAAGGTTAATTATCATTTTTTTTTCCAGGTGCATTTAAATTCAGCCATAGGAAGAAAAGGTACTTTAAAACAAGTACAGAACTTTTATTTTCTCTTATTAATGTTGAATTTGGAAATGTTTTTTCTTAAGCCCTTTTCTGTTTTAATTTAGACTTAAGGGCCTAGCAGGCAATTACTGCAACCACGGAAAACTAAACCCAAGTCATGACTACCTTATGTTTGTAGATTACTTTAGAGTTGACAGAGCGCTTTCCCAGAGTCATTGACTCGTCACAACACACCTGTGAGGTGGGTGAGATTGCTCTGTCACTAGACAGAGTTGCCAAGCCCGAGTTTCAAAGGGGCAGAATGAGGACAAGAGTCAAGGATTAGCTCCTTAGTGGGGGGCAGGGTATGACACACCATCAGATCCCAGAGTCAATTTGGGAGTTCCTGGGGGATAGTTTACTGTTTTTACCAGTCATAATCCAAGTATCTTGCATAAAGAGGGTGTTCGGTATTGTCCTGTGGATGAAGAAATGCGGTATTCTCATAGGCCCGTTCTCATAGGCCCCTGGGATCGAGTCCTGCATCGGGCTCCCTGCTCAGTGGGGAGTCTGCTTGTCCCTCTGCCCCTCCCCCTGCTTGTGCTCTCTCTCTCTCTCTCTCTTCCCCTCTCCCTCCCCCTCTCACTCTCTCTGACAAATAAGTAAATAAGATCTTGAATGTGCTTGTTTTTCACAGCCCAAGGTGGTGGCTTCCTCCCCACAGTTCAGCGACCCTCACCTGTATGTGTGGAATGTGACGGGCAACAGACTGCTGCACCTAGTGGAAGGGGTGAGGCTGAAAACACGGCCCGCTCAATGCACAGACTTTGTCAGCATCAAGAGACAACTGGAGATGTTGGCAAGAATGAAAGTCACTCACTACAGGTTTGCTCTGGACTGGCCCTCAGTCCTCCCCACCGGCAACCTGTCCGTGGTTGACCGACAAGCTCTGAGGTACTATAGGTGTGTGGTCAGTGAGGGGCTGAAGCTCAACATCTCCCCAATGGTCACCTTGTACTATCCGACGCACGCCCACCTGGGCCTCCCCACGCCCCTGCTGCACGGCGGGGGATGGCTGAACCCATCCACAGCCCAGGCCTTCCAGGACTACGCTGGGCTGTGCTTCCAGGAGCTGGGGGACCTGGTGAAGCTCTGGATCACCATCAATGAGCCCAACCGGCTGAGTGACATCTACAGCCACACCGGAAACGACACCTACCGGGCAGCGCACAACCTGCTGATCGCCCACGCGCTGGTCTGGCGCCTCTACGACAGGCAGTTCAGGCCCGTGCAGCGCGGGGCCGTGTCGCTGGCTTTGCACTCGGACTGGGCGGAACCCGCCAACCCCTACGCCGACTCGCACTGGCAGGCGGCCGAGCGCCTCCTCCAGTTCGAAATCGCCTGGTTCGCAGAGCCCCTCTTCAAGACCGGGGACTACCCGTTGGCCATGCGGGAGTACATCGCGCTCAAGAACAGGCAGGGGCTCTCGCGCTCCACCCTGCCTCTCTTCACCGAGGAGGAGAGGAGGCTGGTCAAGGGCGCCGCCGACTTCTACGCGCTGAACCACTTCACCACCAGGTTCGTGATGCACGCGCGCCAGAACGGCAGCCGCTACGACGCCGACAGGGACGTCCAGTTCCTGCAGGACATCACCCGCCTGAGCTCCCCCAGCCGCCTGGCTGTCCTGCCTTGGGGCGAGCGCAAGGTGCTGAGGTGGATCCAGAAGAACTATGGAGACGTGGATGTTTACATCACGGCCAGTGGCATCGATGACCAGTCTCTGGAAAATGATGAACTCAGAAAATACTACTTAGAGAAATACATTCAGGAGGCTTTGAAAGGTGAGGTTCGGGCCGTATCAGATAGTGTGAAACGACATTACCAGCTCAGGCGAACGAAAGAATGGGGGGAGAAGGTGCGTTAGTGACAGTGCCAGCTCATTAGGGAAAATCTGGCAAGTTTAGAAAAGTCTTTTTTAAAAGATCAAAAAAAACACAAAACAAAAACAAATCACCTGAGGCCCAGGTGAGCTCCCCCAATTAAGCACTGTTGGTATTTTGGATTATTTACTCCCAGCATGTGTGCTAGACAGTTTTAGTACAAGTGCAAGTTTTGTATCCAATTTTTTTCTTTTCTTTTTTTTTTTTTAAAGATTTTATTTATTTATTTAAGAGAGAGAGCACATGAGAGGGGGGGAGGGTCAGAGGGAGAAGCAGACTCCCTGCCGAGCAGGGAGCCCGATGCGGAACTCGATCTCGGGACTCCAGGATCATGACCTGAGCCGAAGGCAGTCGCTTAACCAACTGAGCCACCCAGGCGCCCTCCAATTTTTTTTCTAATATCACATTGTTAGTGTTCCACGTCACTAAAATTGCCTTAATATTTTTTTAAAAGATTTTATTTATTTGAGGGAGAGAGAGCGAGCATGAGCAGGGGGAGAGGCAAAGGGAGAGAGAAAAGGAGAAGCAGACTCCCCGCTGAGCGGGGGGGGCGGGGGGGGTGGGGGGAGATGCAGGGCTTGATCTCAGGACCCTGGGATCATGACCGGAGCCGAAGGCAGACGCTTAACTGACTGAGCCACCCAGGTGCCCCGCCTTAATACTATTTTAATGGTTGCTTAATATCACATCATATAGACATATCTTTATGCATGTAAGCATTCCTCTGTTTGACATGGGGTTTTTAATACTAAGAAGCAAGTACCTTTGGATATAAATCTTTGTCTTCATTTCTGATTATCTTCCTAAGAAGGACGCCCACTATGGAATTACTGGGTCATATGTTACAAACAGCGGTTTTCATCCCCCTCCCCAAGCAAGCTATAATTTTTTAATACTTTTTAAAAATTCCTCAATTTTCTCTATTTTGATGGAAGCGAACAACAGTGTTTGAGAGTGTCTTACATAATCTTTGCAGTATTGCCTATCATTTTAAAAATACTTTTAAATGTTCATAATAGATTTGTTGAAGCAGCAAAAAGATCCCAGAAATATACTTATTTACTAAGCACCTAATATAGGCAGAAACTGTTCCGGGCACTGTTATCACCACTGAACAAAGTAAAAATTACTGTCCTCATGAAGCCTATATTTTTGTGGGATGAGAGTCAACAAATAAGATATATAGCTGTATGGAGAAAAAACAGCAGGGAAGAGGGTGACCAGGAGCGGGTATAGGAGTAGTTACAATTCTAAGGCGTGGTTGGGGAAGTCTTCAAAGACCTGGAGGAGCAAGGCAGCAAACCTGTGCAGTTATCTGTGAAATGTTCCAGGTGAGAGAACAGCTATTGCAAAAAACCTAATGTGGGAGTATGCCTGGCCTGTTTGAGGCTCAGGAAGGAGGTAAAAGTGGTGGAAGCATGAGCAACGGGGGGAAGTAATCAGAGATGAGGTCAAGGAAATAGAAGCAGATCAGACAGCTTAGTAAGCCATTGTAAGAACTGTGTCTCTTACTCTGAAATCGGCAGGCTATGGAAGGTTTTAAAAAGAAGGGGACATGACCTAACTCACACTTTAAAAGAATCACTCTGGCAGCTTTTTGGATACATTGTAAAGGAGCAAGAACAGAATCAAGGAGGGTTGGAGTAGTCTAAGAAATAATGGGGGACTGGATTAGGTTATTAAAAGTGGAGATGGTGAGAAGAAGCTAGGATCTGGATTTATTCTGAAGGTAAAGTCAACAGAATTGGATGGGGGTTGTGAGAGGGGAGTGAAGAAACAATCTGTTTTGGTTTGAGCAACTGAAGGGTGAGTGGCCATTTACCAGGTCGGAGGAGACTGGTGGAACAGATATTTGGAGTTGTTTGGTGTTGCACAGGTTGTTTGAGATGTCTATTAGACATCCAATTAGAGATGTCAAATAGGCTAATTGGAGTCTCAGGTTCCGCGGAGAGGTCTGGGGCTGAGATACAAATTTCGGAGTTAAGAGCAAGAATGGTGGGACACCTGAGTGGTTCAGTCGGTTAAGCATATGCCTTTGGCTCAGGTCCCTCATGGGGCTCCTTGCTGGGCGGGGAGCCTGCTTCTCCCTCTGCCTGCAGCTCCCCCTGCTGTGCTCTGACAAATAAATCTTAAAAAAAAAAAAAAAAAGAGCAGGAATGGTATTTAGAAACAATAAGGCTGGATGATATCACAAGGGAGCAAGCAGAGAGGCCTGAGCCCTGAAACACTTCAATATTCAGAGGTCAGAGAGATGAGAAACCAGTAAGAGTGAATAGGAGCCAGTGCTGTAAAGATAACTAGAGGAGAGTATGCAATCAAGGGGGGGCTTTTTTTGCTTAAGATATCAGAAGTTATAGCATGTTCATATGGAGATGACTCAATAGTGAGGGGTAATACATGAGAGAAGGGGAGGACAGATGGAGACGTCCTTGAGTAAACAAGAGAGAATAAACTTAGTGTATAGGTGAAGAGTCAGCCTCTTTCAGGAACATGGACAGGTCATCCATAGTAACAGAAGTATGGTAGTAGGTGGATAGAAGTGATGGTGGGAAATTGGAGAATTCTCCTCTGAGTACTTCAGTTTTTAAGTGAAATAGGTAAGAAGGTCATCCCTTCAAAGCCAGGATGACAGTTTGAGCAGAGGTGTGTATCACTCAAGTGACTAGGGGAAACCAAGCATTGTTATTGGGCAGCACCAAGAGCATATCTGAGGTCTGGAATCAGGCCAAACAGACAAGATTTTTCCGCTTGTGACCAAATGAACACAATGACAATAAGTCCTTTTACACTTTCATGGCTCCAGTTCTTAAATTTGTTTTTACGCCCTGCCCCCACCCCCAGGTGTTTTTGTATTATTTATGGATCAAAGTTTTACTTCAAAATTTTTTAAGCTTACACATATTTTCACATTTCTATCAATCATAAAAGAATGTCAGAAAACCCTTTAATGACAATTGCTACTTTGAGTTTAGCTTATTTCAATGGAAACTAAATTCTTACTCAGATATTTTATAGTTCATTTGTGATTAATGTTCATTTCTGATACTTTTCAGCACACCTAATTGATAAAGTCAAAATCAAAGGCTATTATGCATTCAAACTGACTGAAGAAAAATCTAAACCCAGATTTGGATTCTTCACATCTGAATTCAAAGCTAAATCCTCAGTTCAGCTTTACAACAAACTGATCGGCAACAGCGGCTTCCCTTCTGAGAACACGAGTCCTAGGTGCAGTCAGACTCAAAGAAACACAGAGTGCATGGTCTGCTTATTTCTTGTGCAAAAGAAACCACTGATATTCTTTGGTTGTTGCTTCTTCTCCACGCTGGTTCTACTTTTATCAATTACCATTTTTCATAAGCGAAAGAGAAAAAAAATTTGGAAAGCAAAGAACTTACAACACATACCATTAAAGTAAGGCCACAGAAAGTTCTTAGTGAAACGGATCCTGTTTCTGTCTGCATGATAGAAAGTCTAAAAATTCACTCCAGTTCCACATACTGGTAACTTAGAGAAGACAATCTGAAATACTAGTGGTAACCAAGGTGATGACAATCAAGGTCTCTGCTGTGTGGTCCAAATGAATTTTCCGTTAGGTATTCACATCACTGAATTCAGTTCTTGGATGTGAAGATAAAGGCTTTACCCAGACAGTAAGCTATGAGGATTATCTGATACACTGCTTCAAGTTTAATGAGCTGTTATCCATCATTCTTCTCTAGCTTTCTTCTATAAATACCAATAGCTACTTGTAACAAATTACTTAGAAAAAAAGTGCAACTTTTGCTAGACTCCACAGCAGAAATTTAAAACTCTTAACACTGGATAGTGATTATTCTGTCACTTCTAACAAGGTGCTTTTCCCCTTTAGAAAATACATAAGTAATGCTTATTTATCATCAGCTCCAGCATAGACTCTTAAGCACATAGATCCTAGTTTTTCTCAATAGAAATAAAAACCATCACTTATAAAACATGGTATTTTGTGAGGTCCCTCCTTGTATCAGATCTGATTTAAAAACATAGCTTCCATAACTCAACTCATGGAAAGATCACAGGACTAAGATTAAGAAGATCTAGACCCCACTGCCTGTGGAGACAGCAGTCACTCAACCTCACAGTACGGCAAATTCCTCTTTAGACAAATTGACAGCATTCTTCCTCACTTGGATTATGAGGCAAGGATCTTACATACTTAGGAAAGCTAAATATCCTAAAATGATGTAGTTTATTACCAAGTCATCAGAGGATATTATTCCATAAGACTTGCTCTCTCCTGTGGAGCTCCACTGTTCTGACACCAGTATATATAGGGACCTCTCACAAAGGTATAGAATGCATCTCGATCTTGACCTTGCAACTGTGCCTCTTTGGATACAATTCACTGTTGATGGTCTGAAGGAGTTAAAACTTTTGCCATTGCGTCTTTTGAAGCTGGGATTCTTAAATCTGAACTAGGAGGTTAATTTTTTTGAACTCTTACGCTTAAGATTCATTCAATGTATTCTAAATTTTAGAGGAAAAAAACCTGAATGTAAGCCCATTCGTACCCATTCTTTAGGTTAGTCAACATTTAAATTCACATTTCACATAGTAGGTAATCACTGTCCATTCTATCCAAGAATTTACTGAGTCAAAGGAAAGGGGTTTTTTTGTTGTTTAAAAAACCTTGGTAGGAAACTACCCTAAATGAAGTCAATTGTGATTGCTTTTCAGGGCTATATGTCAGAAGCCAAATTTTGTAGGTAATAGAGATTCTAATAGGAAGTTTCAAAGATACTGTAATGAGATAACATAATTGGTCAAGTAAATGCAAAAATGATGGGTAATCAGTTTGCTTTTTGGCTGGCCAAATTCAAACAGTAATTGTGGTTTTCTATTCCCTTTGCCCCCACTGTATCCACTCTCCCAGCTTTGGTAGTTTTTATATTATGCTTTTTATCTTTTCAAGTAATTTTTATTTCCTTTTTGAAAACTCACGTAGTTGGCCTAAGGCTATCCACAATTACAACTGGTTGTTTTAATGTTAACTATGTGGAAAGACTCATTTAAAACAACCACTTGGCTGGGTTTTTTTTTCTTTGTGCCACATGGATTCACTGACCCCAAAGTTCCAGTGAATATTCTTACAGGAATTTTCAGTTGAACAACTTACCAACTTTTTAACTTCTAATATCTAACATCTTGAATGCATATTCAGTCATAGGAATAACAAAGATTTAGAATTAAATTAAGGTTTTGCTTTTCTGGTGTCTAAATATTACTTTGTGCTCTGATTAAAAAGTATCTTGTATTCAGTTTACCATTAACCTTCAATACATTATGCCTTTATATTTAGAGCTGAAGTTAAAACTTGTGTGCTTTTTCAAATTTGTTAACCTTGCCATCAACTCCCCCAAATAGTCAAGTCCCAAAACAATGCTTACAGTCCTTTCTAACACCTGGGAACCATGTTTTTAAGCCATCATCATATAAGAATCCTTAGGTAAATAATATAAATCATGATCAATTATACTTACTATTCAGGTTTATCCTAAACTCATTTAAAAATTATGTCATTTTAAACTGATAGCTTTTGACAGGATAATATTTTCAGAATTTAGGCCTGGGACTTGCTTGGGGGGGGGGAGCGGGGGGAGACCTCTTAAAACCTAGTTAACTTGTGTTCTATTTTGTGTATGGTATTAGTTTGTATATTCAATGTAACAACCCTGTCTTTGACTAACAAGTCTGGTACATACAGAAAATATTACAACGTAACCATGGTGTTTAAAGATCCTCTGTAATATTAGGTGGTCAGTACATTTTGACTAATTGTTGAATTCTCAATGTAATTTATTCCAAATAAACTGGGTTTATGCCAATTTATATTCACTAACAATCTGGTCAATTATAAGAACTGTAAAATATGAATGGGTCTGGTGTATGACTGGATTCTGCCCAATACTGCCTCTGTCCATCTCCCCAAGCTGTGTGCATCCTGGATAACTTTCTTTGGAGTATGTTTTCTCATTATAAAATGTGGATATCTAAACTTCAGAGTTGGGAAAATAACATACAAGTACTTATCCATTGTAGACACAGAAGACATGGAATTCTTCCCAGGGGAAACTAGATTTTCCCTTACCACATCCAACTTAAGTGAAAATCACTCCTTAGCTACAACCAGCCTCTGTTATCTTGTGAAGTCTCACCCATCACGTCAATTCACTTCGCTCTGAGAAATTACACTTACTCCCACAGCTACCACGGCCTGTACACTGACACTCTCAATTAGAACACCTTCATCCCTCTATAATACTGCCATTTGGAAACTTCTTCCTTCCTCAACCCTTAAAATCAGTTTTGAAATCCTCAATACCTTCCATAACATTTCTTTCCAGTCCCATTGGTATTACTGAGTCTTTAATCTCCAACAATCTGGGTACCATTCACTCGGCAAATAGCTATATGCCAGGCATTATTTTTTTTTTTTTAAAGATTTTATTCATTTGACAGAGAGAGACACAGCGAGAGAGGGACTACAAGCAGGGGGAGTGGGAGTGGGAGAGGGAGAAGCAGGCCTCCCGCCGAGCAGGGAGCCCGATGTGGGGCTCGATCCCAGGACCCTGAGATCATGACCTGAGCTGAAGGCAGACGCTTAACAACTGAGCCACCCAGGCGCCCCTATGCCAGGCACTTAGAATAACCCAGTGAGAAAAGATCCATCCTCACAAACGTTACATTCTAACAGGAAAAAAAGGATACAATCAATATACGACAAAGTAAACTATATTGCATTCTAAATGCTATGGATAAAAACAAGTGAAGCAGAAGGGTATGTATGCTAGGATGGGGTTTAGGGGTGAACACCATTAATAGGCTGAAGGCAGGCTTGCTTCACTAAAAATGTTTAACAGACTTGAAGGTTAAATTGCCACTCCAAAGGGACAGAACTTCTGAAGGATAGTTTTAAGGCAGTGGTACTAAGGAACAGCAAGCTCCGTTCAGCCAGTCTATCAGAAAGGTTAAGAGAGAGTGGAGTTTGAGAAAAGCATTCTGGCTACTGCTGAAAACAGAGGAGAGGAGCAAAGTCGGAGCAAAGTTGACCAGTTAAAAAGCTATTATACTAACCCAAGCAAAATGTAGTTTTTCATTTTCTGTATTATAAAAAATTTCAAAACTTTATATATGTAGGCACAATGAATTCCCAGTTTAAAGTATCAATTTATAGGTTAATCTGGGTTTCACTTAGAACACCATCCAATGCTCTCTCCAATCCCACTTCAAATATTTCAAAGCAAACTATAGTTGATCATTTCACCTATATTTCTTAAAAACTTTGACCAAAGATTAACTCCTTAAAATATCTAGTTGGTTCATTTAAAATCAAGAGCTCGGTAAGATCCATACGTTCCAAATGGTTGCTCATTTTAAGATTTAGAGAGCGAGAAGAGCACAAGCAGGGGTCGGGCAGAGGAAGCAAGCTCCCCGCTGAGCAGGGAGTCCAACGTCGGGGTCGATCCCACGACCTGAGCCAAAGGCAGATGCTTAATTGACTGAGCTACCCAGGCACTCCCAAGTCCTTAAACATACCTTACTTTGAAGGCAAAGCCTACACTTCCCTGATGGATTTAATGTGTAGCATGCAAGAGAAATCAAAGTTGAATGTTTTGCCTGAGAAATCGGAAAGCTGGAGTTTCCATCAAATGAGATGGGGAAAACTGAAGAGGTTGGGGGCAACCCTGCTATGTTAGTCCAGTATGGTAACACATTTAAAAGTGTGACACATAGAATTAAGAGATTCTGGAAGGGTTATCAGTTTCTAAAAATATCAAGGACTAGCATGTGGGAGTAATGGCTGAGGTAGGGTAGAATGAAAATTGAGGTATCTTGGACACAACGACGTTAATCACAAACACAAATTAACCTTATCACTTTGTTCCACCCCTCCGCTGCTTTTTCCACAAGTTACCGGTATACAGACAAGTGACTCAAGCACTTACCACACAAATATTCAAATTTATGCCTCTGCAAAATCAGATACCCTCAGGATCTCTCCCAAAAGTTCTACATCCAATGATGAACAGTCACATGGTGTTGCCGGTCACTGGTACTGTATTCCTCTTGCCTGAAATGCCCTCGATATTCCTTCAAAAAACCAAATTCAAGCCAATTCTCCCATTAAGTTTTACTAGAAAAAACTCCTGTTTTATTCCTTGTTACTGTTTCTTAGCACACTACAATTTGCTTCTGAATGGTTTAACTGCCCAATAGTTGGAAAGGATTATTGGTTTAAGAAAAAGCCCCAGGGGCGCCTAGGTGGCTCAGCTGGTTAAGCTTCTGCCTTTGGCTCAGGTCACGATCTCAGGGTCCTGGGATGGTGCCCTGCACTGGGCTCCCTTGCTCAATGGGGTCTACTTCTCCCTGTCCTTTTGCCCCTTCCCATCCCCACTCGTGCTCACTCACTCTCTCACACAGTCTCCCTCAAATAATCTAAAAGAAAAAGGCCCAAACCAGTATAGCTTTTATTGCATCTTTAAAATATCACAAATAAGTATGAAAAATCATCCGGCATCTTGCTGTTTCTGTAGATGGACAACTGTAAAAAGAAATAAAAAGATCTGTCAATTCCCATCAATACCCTCCAAAACAAGTTCTACTCTAAATAATCCAAAACAAGTTTAAGATTCTGACTTACTAGTTCATAGTAAAAATGCATGTCACTTTTTTTTTTT